GGGGGGGGGGGGGGAGTGTGGTCCGGGATTGCCCGGAGTGCAAGCCTGCCAGCCAGGCTGTCAAATTCCATGCTGTCTTAATCAGGATTTGGCCCTGATGGTGGTGGGTAGCTGGGGCTCAAAGATGGGGAGATGGTTTTTTTTTTTGTTTTCCAGTCCTGGGGCTGGAACTCAGGGCCTGGGCGCTGCCCCTGAGCTTCATTTGCTCATGGCTAGCACTCTACCACTTGAGCCACGGCACCACTTCAGGATCTTTCTGATTATGTGGTACTGAGGAATCGAACCCAGGGTTTCATGCATGCTAGGCAAGCATTCTACCGCTAGGTCACACTCCCAGCCCCTTGGGGAAGCTAGTGGATCTGATCGGTATTTCCTAGAGACCGTTGTTCAAACATAGAGCGGTAGATCTTTCTTTGGAATTAGGAGGGCAATTAAGCACCGACCAGAGGACAGATGATCGTGGCTGCACCAGGAGCGTGGGATGGAATGGAGAGATGTGGACAGATGTAAAAGGTGCTCTGAAGAAGGAATTAAAAATGGGGTGTTTGAGCTGGGCACCGGTGGCTCACGCTGTAATCCTAACTATTCAGGAGGCTGAACTCTGAGGATCATGGTTCAAAGCCAGTCCAGGCAGGAAAGTCTGTGAGACCCTTATCTCCAGTTAACCACTAAAAACCTGAAGTGGCACTGTGGCTCAAGTGGTAGAGCACTTGCCTTGAGCTGAAGGGCTCAGGGACAGGGCCCAGGCCCAGAGATCAAGCCCCACAACTGACCAAAAAAATAAAAAATAAATGTGGTGTTTGGAAGACGTTGGAAGGAAAAAGAGGAGTAGGGAATGACTCAAATTCTGGGTTGAGCAGCTAGGTGAATGATGTCATCTATTGAAAATGAGGACTTTGGGGAAGAGAAGCAGGTTTGAAGCAAAGGGAAGATAACGAAGGTCGTTTTGGAAAGTATTGAGATTGATGTGCAGAGAAAGCCAAGATATAGGTTGGATAGAGTGAGTAGTTAGGTTGTTATCAAAGCTCAGTGAAGGCTGGGAATGTCGCTTAGTGGTAGAGTGCTTGCCTAGCGTGCATGAAGCCCTGGGTTCCATTCCTCAGTACCACATAAACAGAAAAAGCTGGAAGTGGCACTGTGGCTCAAGTGTTAGAGTGCTAGCCTTGAGCAAAAGCAGCTCAGGAACAATGCCCCGGCCCTGAGTTCAAGCCCCAAGACTGGCAAAATTAAAAAAAAAACAACACAACTACGTGAGTGAGAAATAAAACTTGGGAAACACCAGTAGCTTAATTATGAGCAGAGGAAGGAACTACAAGAAGAGTAGCTGAAAAATAGGGAAAAAAGAAACTCCTGAGTTGGGAGTCTTGTGGGAAGGGAAAATTGCCGGGAGGAGGAGTGACTGACAGCATCTTGCTGCAGGGGAAGCAAAGCCAGAACTGAAGAGAACCTATGGGATTTGAAAATACAAGGCTAATGACCTTGGAGAGAGCCTGTATGGGTTGGGGTCCTTGTCCCTGGTGGAAAGAGGAACCAGGGGGATTACATAGGAGGAGGTAGGGTGAAGGAGAGTGTGCATTACAGTGGCTGCTGGTTAAAGGAGCTCCAACTGAGCTGTCTTCCTTTCTGGTGTTTGGTGAAGTTATCTGCTGTTCATAAGGTGTGTGGAGGTGCTTCCAAATGCCTATTTGCACAGGTCTAAGCATCCAGCACAGAACATGTCCAAGGAAGTGTCTTTTTTTTTCCCCCCTGGTTCTGGGGCTTGAACTTAGGGCCTCTGTACTGTCCCTTAGCTTCTTTTCTTCAAGACTAGCACTCTTATCACTTAAGCCATAAAATGGACACAAGTAAAGAGAGCACAGAAAGGGATGCAAAAGTTAGATTTCTTGGGTCAGAAATGGAAATACAGAGAAGAGGTGCTCTGGGCCTGGAATTATGGCTCAGGGTGGTAGAGATCCTGCCTAGTAAGCACAAGATTCCTGAGTTCAAGTCCCGGTACCACTAACAAAGGAAAAATTGATGGTGGAATAGAAGGATACCCAGAAGCCAGGCACTGGTGGCTCATGCCTGTTAATCCTAGCTACTCAGGAGGCTGAGATCTGAGGATCACAGTTCAAAGCCAGACCAGGAAAGAAACTCCATGATACTCTCTTATCTCCAATAAACTACTCAAAAAAGCTTGAAGTGTTCCTGTGGCTCAAGTGGTAGAGCACTTGCCTTGAGCAAAAAGAAGCCCAAGGACAGGGCCCAGGCCCAGAGTTCAAGCTCCAAGGACCCGCTTTAAAAAAAAAAAAAAAAAAAGACAGTTGCTGCTGCTTGTTAGCTCAGGAGGAAAAAGATTGTTTGCTAATATTACCACAGGCCCAGGTGCTAGTGAGAAGCCCTGGTCTTTGGATCTTGCATCTAAAGTCAGAGTTATAGACCTCTTGGCCCTTTGTTCAGCCCCTGAACCATGTTTCTTTTTGTTCCAGCTGCCAGCTCCAAAACTAGCTCAGGAGATGCCTCATCACTCAGCATTGAGGAGACCAAGTAAGTACTAGTTACCTTATAGGTCTCCTGTTTGCTGAGACAAGCAATTCTGGTGAAGCCCCTGAGGAGGGTATCTTCTATGAAAGCATGCCAGTTGAGTTGGAGGGTAATAGGAGTCATTTCACCCAACCATTGCAGTTTCAAAGGTGAAAACTAAGACCCAAGAGAGGGAGGATGGCATTCACTGGCTGGGCTAGGCTAAACCTAGTGCTCACGTTCCTGATATGGAGGCCTGTGTCCTTGGTGCCTGGGGACTACCCACTTCCATTCTTTTGTCACCTCTTGCTTGTTCAGAAATAACATCTGATGCCCTATTTCTTAGCAGTCCCTAACACTTACATTTCTTGTCCTCAGTAAACTCCGGGCAAAGTTGGGGCTGAAACCCTTAGAGGTCAATGCCGTCAAGAAAGGTAAGTGTAGAGCTGAGGATGGGAGCTGAAGGCTGGCATCTGTGGGAAGAGGGCATTTGAAGAGTTGGGGTTACAGCACAGAGTTAGCACCACTTGGTGGCGCTGGGTATTTCTCCAGGCTCCTCTTTGCTGCCCCCAGTGGGGATCTAGGACCGCTTACTTGTGCATCCATGGCGTCCTTGCTGTAGATACACAGAAGGATGTGCACATATATTGCAGCTGTGTTGTTTGGTTTTTAAAGAAACTTGGTTCGAGGAACTTTAGAGTACATAGAGGGTTCTGTCTAGAGTGAAGTGGGAGTGGTGAGATGAACGGTTCTTCCTCTCTCCTGGCCCCTTCTGGCCTTTGAGCTGGAAGGGGCAGGGTGAGTGGCTCCCTCCTCTCCCCCCAGCCATGGGCAGGCATAGCCTCACGTCTGGGCCCCCCTTCCAGAGGCGGGCACCAAGGAGGAGCCCGTGGCAGCTGATGTCATCAACCCCATGGCCTTACGACAGCGTGAAGAGCTACGGGAGAAACTGGCAGCTGCCAAGGAAAAGCGCCTACTGAACCAAAAGCTGGGGTGAGTGTCCTGGCCAGGGAGGGGCAGAGGAGACTGCTGTCTCTGCCATAGCTCATCTCCATAATGGGAAGTCTCCTTAATGGCTGGACTCCTGAGCATCCACCTTCCTTCTCTTCAGGAAGATAAAGACGCTGGGCGAAGATGATCCCTGGTTGGATGACACTGCAGCCTGGATCGAGAGGAGCCGGCAGCTGCAGAAGGAGAAGGACTTGGCAGAGAAGAGGGTGAGCACTTGGCTGGCAGGGGCTGACCTTTGCGAGGTGTGTGGGGTTGGTTCAGAAGAGGCCTAGGTTGGGGGGTCAGCTTTGGGTTCTCTGCACCTTGGCTGTCAGGCCTGTCCTTTTTGTACTTATGCTTGGTAGAGCTGCAGTTGTGTTCTGGTGGTGCTGAATGGCCTTAGGTCCTAAATCCCTCTTCCCTGTCCCTCAGGCCAAGCTGTTGGAGGAGATGGACCAAGAATTCGGTGTCAGCACGCTGGTGGAGGAGGAGTTTGAGCAGAGGCGGCAGGTGAGGCTGCAGCGGCAGTGCGGGGTTGGGGGGTGTTCTCAGAGTTTTGGCTCCCAACTCAACCAGCCTCCCATGTAGGACCTGTACAGTGCCCGTGACCTTCAGGGCCTCACTGTGGAGCATGCCATTGATTCCTTCCGAGAAGGGGAGACACTGGTCCTCACCCTCAAGGACAAAGGTGAGTTGAATTGGCTGCTCTGGGCACTGGGCCCCGTGTCCTGGCACTGGAGTGGTACTACCTCGGCTCTGTCCTAGGTGTCCTGCAAGAGGGAGAGGATGTGCTGGTGAATGTGAACCTGGTGGATAAGGAGCGTGCCGAGAAGAACGTGGAGCTGCGGAAGAAGAAGCCTGACTACCTGCCCTATGCGGAGGATGAGAGTGTGGACGACTTGGCACAGGCACGCTGCCAGGGCAAGGCCTGGGCTGGTGGAGGGGGAACGCTGAGGAAACCATTATTTCCTGGCTTCTTAGGATCCCGTCTGGGTTCCAATCCACCCCTCTTGCCTTGCAGCAAAAACCCCGCACTATCCTGGCTAAGTATGATGAGGAGCTGGAGGGCGAGCGGCCATCCTCCTTCCGTTTGGACCAAGGTGGCACAGCTGACGGCCTTCGGGAGCGCGAGCTGGAAGAAATTCGGGCGAAGCTGCGGCTACAGGCTCAGTCCCTGAGCTCCATAGGGCCCCGACTTGCCTCCGAGTACCTCACACCTGAGGAGATGGTGAGCCCTCGTGCTTTTTTTTTTTTTTTTGGCCAGTCCTGTGGCTTTGAACTCAGGGCCTGGGCATTGTTCCTTGGCTTCTTTTGCTTAAGGCTAGCACTCTAACACTTCCAGCTTTTTCTGCAAATGTGGTACTGAGGAATAGAACCTAGGGTTTCATGCATGCTAGACAAGCACTCTACTACTAAGCCCTATTCCCAGCCCGACTCCTTATAATTTGAATGGCACAGTTCTGACCTTGAGGGCCTGGGCATGCGCTCTGGAGAAGTGGAAGTGGTGGTGAATGGCAGCCTGGGGGAGGTTCTGGGCCCAGTTGACCCAGCCTGTGGCTCCGCCACACAGTGTGTGCCTTGTGTGAGCCACTTACCTGATCCTGGAATGGCAGTAGCAGCAGCCGCCTGCAAAGACATGCCACCAGGACTCTGCCAGTGTGGGCAGGCAGAGCTTTTCAAGGGGCACAGGAATCTTGCTGGGGAAGAACCGTGAACCAGGGCAATGGCGTTATCATCTTGGCTGAGTGAGGAGGAGTTTGGTAGCTGTGATTGGCTAGTCCTGGCTCCCCGGGGAGGGTACTTCTCTCTCAGTCTTCTCAGTGGTGAACTGACAGTAACACCAGAAATGGTTATTGAGGGCTGTGGTGGCCCTGAGTCCCCTTCTCAATGCCTCTCCTCTCGGCCCTCAGGTAGCCTTCAAAAAGACCAAGCGAAGGGTAAAGAAGATCCGCAAGAAGGAGAAGGAAGTGGTAGTGCGGGCAGATGACCTGCTGCCTCTCGGGGACCAGACTCAAGATGGGGACTTTGGCTCCAGGTAGGCTTGGATACCTGTTGGGGCATGAGAGCTGAGTGGTTTCTGGGCACCAACATTCACTAGAGTGGCCTCCTTTTCCTAGACTGAGGGGCCGAGGTCGGCGCCGAGTGCCGGAGGCAGAGGAGGAACCTCCAGAGGATGAAGATAAGGAGCCTGTGTCCCAGCCCCCCGCGTCAGATGACACCCGCGTGGAGAATATGGACATCAGTGATGAGGGTGAGGGGCCAGCAGGGAGCGAGGGGGCGGGGCCAGGGCTAAGGGAGTAGTGAGCCATTGTCTTCCTCTTTCCCCAGAGGATGGGGGTGCTTTGCCATCAGGCTCTCCCGAGGTGCTCGAGGAGGATGAGGCGGAGCAGGAGCTGCAGAAGCAGCTGGAGAAGGGGCGTCGGCTGCGGCAGCTGCAGCAGCTCCAGCAGCTGCGAGACAGTGGTGAGAAGGTGAGGCTGAGCACTCAACACCCCTGTTCTGGGGGAAGTCTCCCATTAAGCCTTGTGGTACTGTTGAGTGTAGCACCCTGCGGTGTGGGTGAGGTTCTGTGTTCAGGACTGGGGAGCAGGGCAGCCACGGGACCTGAGGCTCACAGCCTGCTTTGCTTGGACCTGGGATCATACGCAGCTTTGGTAGTTTGTGATTGTGAGATGACTGTTGGGGTGCTCAGGGACAGTCTCTCATGGGTAACATTTGAGCTTAGGGATTTGAGGAACTCGGGGATCTGTGGTGGAGGCAGGAGTTGAGAGGTACGGATGGCATGGAGGCAGTGTGGACCTCAGGCGTCCTCAGGAGGACTTTGTCTGGAGTACTTGGACCAGGGCTGGAGCAGGGCTGAGTGGATGGTTGGTGAAGTGAGAGGCCGCCAGTCTCAGTAAGGCCAGCTTATGGGCCCTGAGGCCACAGCCAGCTGACCCTTGGAGATGTGTACCAGGCAGGCAGGAGGGGGGTGACTAGAAATGTGGGGGCTCTGTGGTGAGTGGGTCTTGTTAGAAGGGAGCGACGCTGGGCATGTGGCCTGACAGGAGAAGACAGAGGCTGCGCCAGCACAGGCAGTAGGTGGGAGCTCTTGGTGAAGCAGGAAGTGAGAAGCCGGGTTTGAGAGGTGAAGAGTGGCCATCTTGATGCTCTCGGCCTCAGGAAGGAGCCGTGGGAGAACATGTTCTTGAAAGGAGAAAGGGGAAGCTGAGAGAGCATGAGGGGCTTTGGAGAAAGGGTTGGTCGGCAGGGGTCAGGAAGGGCTGGATGTTAAAGGGCCTCGAGGGCCTGGCGAGGCGGATGGGGGTGGGGACTGGTTGGCATGGCCAGCAGGAGCAGTGCACTGGAATGGCCTATTCACTGCCACCAGGGAGGATCTATGGGGCCCAGGTCTTAGTGTTATCACCCCAGAAACTTCGGATCTGCCCACAGCTGCTCCCTCCCCCAGGTGGTGGAGATTGTAAAGAAGCTGGAGTCTCGCCAGCGCGGCTGGGAGGAGGAGGAAGACCCCGAGCGCAAGGGGGCCATCGTGTTCAACGCCACCTCGGAGTTCTGCCGCACCCTGGGGGAGATCCCCACCTACGGGCTGGCAGGCAACCGGGAGGAGCAGGAGGAGCTCATGGTGGGTCCCAACTCCCCACAGCCCTGGTGGGTTTCTCTGCTCTCCATCAGAGCCTGCTGGCCTGTGCTACAAGGTGGGGTGGGGGTTTAGGTTAACTTTGATTTCCGGCTCCAGGACTTCGAACGGGATGAGGAGCGTTCGGCCAATGGCGGCTCCGAATCGGACGGGGAAGAGAACATTGGCTGGAGCACGGTCAACCTGGATGAGGAGAAGCAGCAGCAGGATGTGAGGAGGGGTGCAGGGTATGGGCTGGATGTGGGGCCTGGGCCCTGGGGGAGGGTGAGTCACCTGCTGCCGCAGAGCCTCTGTCTCCTCTGTAGAACATGCTCTGAGGCCCGCCTGGGGACTAGCCTCAGCTGAGGGGGGGGGTGCCTGATGGGGAAGGGGCTGAGGAGCACCTGTGGCTGCTCACGCCCCACCTGTGTTATCTCAGTTCTCTGCTTCCTCCACCACCATCCTGGATGAAGAGCCCATTGTGAACCGAGGGCTGGCGGCCGCTCTGCTCCTATGTCAGAACAAAGGTAGTGCCAGGCTGGGTGGGTGCCTGCCTGTGGGGCGGGCCCAGTGCAGCACCTTCAGGCCCCTCAGCCCCTTTTCCCATGGTCCCGAGCCCTCCGCCTTCCTCCCAGTTGTGGAAGTTCCAGGGAGTGCCATGCTTCTGCTGTGCCTTCAAGGCCCTGGTCCTCTGGGAAGCAGTCGGGGGCAGTTGAAGCAGCAAGACCCTCGGGTCACCCTGCCAGCTCTGCCATCCTTAGCTCCTTGACAAGACCGGGAGTGGGCGCTGCAGGCCCCACTGGGTAGCGCCCATCTGGAGGGAGGCTGCATGGAGGCTCACGGCCCCTCTGACCTCAGGGTTGCTGGAGACAACGGTGCAGAAGGTGGCTCGGGTGAAGGCCCCCAACAAGTCACTGCCCTCAGCTGTGTACTGCATCGAGGATAAGATGTGAGTATGGCTGCAGGGGTGCGGGCAGGCGGAGAGGCCGGGGTCGGCTGGGGCTGCCCGGGCCCCAGCTCACACGGAGCCGTCTCGTCAGGGCCATCGATGACAAGTACAGCCGGCGGGAGGAGTACCGAGGCTTCACCCAGGACTTCAAGGAGAAAGACGGCTACAAGCCTGATGTTAAGATCGAGTATGTCGATGAGACAGGCCGCAAACTCACTCCCAAGGAGGTGAGCAGGGCCGTGGTGGCAGCGCAGCTCTGTCCCCCGTGCTGACCGGGGGCTGAGGGGCAGAACCTTATCTTCAGTGGGCTCTGCATGGCCAGAGCGTCCATCAGTGCCCCCCTGCTGTAGCAGAAGCTCTACCCTCGGGTGGACCAGGCCCCTGCTGCCCCTCTGCTGTATGAGCCCTGTCCCCCACGCTCCTGGTCTGTCTCCAGCCCACACGAGGCATGTCTGGTTCTGGACCCCAGCAATCAGCATGTTTGTCTCCAAGCCAGTCTCACCCCTTCAGGGCCCCTCAGGCCTGGGGTGCTTTTCTCACCCCCAGCCTGAGCATGGTTTAGGTCATTTGGTCCCACACACCCTGTCGTGGAGTTCTTTGTGGGTATAGGTGGCCTAGCCCCGCGTGGGGCTCCTGCAGCACCCAACTCTTCTTCCTCCGCCCGCAGGCATTCCGGCAGCTGTCCCATCGCTTCCACGGGAAGGGCTCGGGCAAGATGAAGACGGAGCGGCGCATGAAGAAGCTCGATGAGGAGGCGGTGGGTGTCTGAGGGCTATGCTCTGTGGCTGGGGGTCGGGGACGCAGGCCTGCTCTGGCTGTACTGACCTCCCCCACCTGCAGCTCCTGAAGAAGATGAGCTCCAGCGACACGCCCCTGGGCACCGTGGCGCTGCTGCAGGAGAAGCAGAAGGCCCAGAAGACTCCGTACATAGTTCTCAGTGGCAGTGGCAAGAGCATGAACGCGTGAGTGGGGGCCCAGGGCCTGCCCTGGCAGGGCGGGGCCGGGCTGGGGAAGGCCGTGCTTGGCCTCACGCCTCTTTTCTCTCTGCAGGAACACCATCACCAAGTGAATGGCCTCACATCCCATCCCCTCCTCAACTGTAATATTAAATAAAGCTCCCTCCTTATTTTTTCTTCCCTGGTCACAGTACAGATTCCAGGGCTAGTCCTGGGCGGGGGGCAGGCTGTGACCTCCAACAAGTTGCAGAACCTCTGAGCCTCCATTCTGCGGTCAAAACCCTTGTTCTCCAGAGAACTTGGCTTTTTCATCCCTGAACATATGTGGCCTGTGCCTGGTGGGACCCGGCCTTCAGATGTCCTGAGTAGTGACATGGAGGTGAAGGGAGGACGTGGGCAGCCGCTGAGAAGCCACTTGCTCTCCCTCTCCCACCGGCCGAGCTGTGGGTCGCCCGCTTGTGCAGGCCCAGCTCCTGATCCCAACTGGATAGAATATTGCGACGGGAACGCCATGGCATCTCCAGGGCTGCACAAGTCACTCCCTGGAATCTCACTGATGGTTTGCAAGGATGAGCAGGATGGTGAAGCTTGTCAGGCAGGGCTGGGCCCAGCTTCACCCCTCTCATCCTGTGCTGCCTCACCTCTGTGAAGCCAAGGATGGGCCAGGCGTGTCCTGCCCAAGCCTAGGTTGGGCGTTTGTTCAGGCGCACTGCTCTGGGAGGGCTGAATCTGGCTCTGCACGGCCGCACTGGACCACACTGGGTCATGGGCTTCCTCGGTGATTGGTGAAAAGGAGCCAGGTTGGTTAAGGGCTCACAAGCCCCACATCATGGAAGTGAACAAAGGACTGGCTGGACTCAGAGAAGATGGTGTCCTGTCCCACATGCCTCTAGACACATTCTGGATGGGTCACAAGTTCTAACGTGAAACCAAAAATAAATCAGAGAGAATGAACTCCTTTTTTGTCAGTTTTGGGGCTTGAACTTGGCCTGGGTGCTATCCCTTCACTCTTCAGCTCAAGGCTAGCGCTCTACCGCTTGAGACACAGTGTCACTTCCGGTTTCCTAGTGGTTTATTAGAGATAAGAGTGTCACAGACTTTCCTGCCCGGGCTGGCTTTGAACTGTGATCCTTAGATCTCAGCCTGTGAGTAGCTAGGATTACAGGCGTGAGCCACTGGCGCCTAGCTTCTAACAATGTTTGAGTGGGAAAAACGTAAACAGGAGACAAAATTCATTTGCCTGTAATCCTAGTTACTCAGGAGGCTGAGATGTGAGGCTCCTAGTTCAAAGCCTGTCTGGGCAGAAAAGACTGACGCTTTTATCTCTAAATAAAAAACAACACTCAAAACTGAAAGTGGTGGTGTGGCTCAAGTGGTAGAGTATTAGCCTTGAGCTGAAGAGCTGAGGGACAGCGTTTAGGCCCTGGGTTCAAGCCCCATGACTAACCAAAAAATACTGGACCTAATTTTCATGTGGAGAGGATGGCAGCAGGTCACACGCTCCCTCCTGTTTTGAAGTCTGATTCTTACCCATCTTTCCCTGCAGCTGTTTCTCAAGGAGGCAGCTGTGGATGTTCTCGATGGGCCTTGGGTTGGGGGAAATGTTCACTGTTAAGTTTCTGGAAGCCTATAAGGAGCTCTCAGCATTGGCACACTGGTGACCATCTCTGAAGACTGACCTTTGTTTTCAGGAAATGGCCATTCAGCTTAGGCTGGGGTAGTAGAGACTGGAAGCCACCAAGAGTCCAGGAGCCCCAGGGCAGGCAGCCCTGTCAGGCTACGCTCTGCCCTTGCCAGCAGTACTGCTCACCCTGGACCTCATAAGCATTGACCTGAGGGTTAGTGTGTCCCTGCCAGGGTAACCTGGGGGCCTCAGTTTGGCTTCTGGTTGTCTGCCTAACTGCATGCAAGTTAGTGAGGTCCCTGTTCTGCCTGCGCTCCTCCAGCCAAGTCCTGGGACTTGAACTCAGCCCAGGCACTGTCCTTGAGCTTTTTTTTCTCAAGCCCTATCACTTGAGCCACAGCTCTACTTCCAGCTTTTTGGAGTTTACTGGGGATGAGTCTCATGGAGCTTCCTGCCCAGGCTGGCTTCTAACTGATCCTCATTTCAGCCTCATGAGTAGCTAAGATCACAGGTGTGAGCCACCAGCATCTGGTGGATTTGCTGTTCTCTCATCTGTGAATTGGTGTGTGCACAGGTTCTTAGAACTGGGATAAGACAAGACTTACCCTATACTAGTAATTTATCCACACTGCTATTTCTTAGAAAATCTGAGGTGGGTCTTAATTCTGTCTTGGAAAAGCCAGTTATGACAAACTGCATTTCAAAAATCCTCATCCTGGGCTGGGAAGGTGGCTCAGTGGTAGAGTGCTTGCCTCGCATGCATGAGACCCCAGGTTCCATTCGTCAGCACCACATAAACAGAAAAAAACTAAGTGGCACTGTGACTCAAGTGGTAGAGGGTTAGCCTTGAGCTGAAGAGCTGAGGAACAGCACCGAAGTCCATAGTTCAGGGCCCCCCGCCAAAAAAAAATAAAACCTCATCCCAAAGCAATTCCTCTTCCTTTCTGTACTTGTTAATAAGGACAAATGGCTTTAAAGAAAACAAAACTAAATATCCTTTATTTATTAAAGGTGCGTACAGATAGGTTACCACTTAAGTCAGGTAATGAATACATTTCTTTTTGGACAATGTCACTCCTTGCCTCACTCTTAATTTTTCTCTCCTGTCCCTGCCCACAAGTTGTGTAGTTCATTTTCAACAGTGTCCAGTGAGTATCATTGCTGCATTTGCTCACCCATTGCCCCTCCATTTCTTTACTTTTTTTGGGGGGGTCCGGTCGTGGGCCTGAACTCTGGGCCTGGGCGCTGTCCCTCAGCTTCCAGTTCAAGGCTAGTGCTCTACCACTTGAGCCACAACGCCACTTCCAGCCTTTTTTTTTTTTTTTT